CAAGGTTAAAATATAAAACAGGATGGAATCACTTCTGTAGCACAAAATGAATACGGATGTAAACATAGATGGAAATGGATGGATGATAAACATGAGATCACCATGCAGAAACAAATCCTCAAGATCTTTGTTTGATATAAGAACTTTCTGGAAGAGAGTATAAATATATTTTATGTAAGTGTCATTACAAAGATTTTACATATATTTTTAAATTTTGTCAAATGGTATCGTCAATGGTATCTTGAGAGTGTAGGTGTAGGTGTAGGTGGGATGAAGATCTGAGTAAATTATAGGTCATCATCGTCACTTTCAACTACACTTACACCTTCAAGAGCTATTGTGGAGAAGAACTTGATGAAGATGATTTGTTAAATAAATATGATATTCAAATGATATCTTAGTATTAAATGAAAATTCGTGGAATAAACAATACGATTATGATTTTACTAATATTGATAATGAAGGGAAAAGTTTTGCTCGTAATGGTACTGAATACCGTCAACCATGTGGATGAAAACGTTTTGCAATTAAAGCTATTGGAAAATGTGAAAATGAAATATGGCTTGGATCAAACAATAGTCCTGGTGAATGGCAAGTTTCATGTCATGCAACAAAACATACGCTTTTTACTCATGGATGAAGTATTTACATAACGCTTGATATTAATATAGCAAAATTGTATGCTTCCACTTTTACTTATAACGGAGAACGATATTATGTTATACTTCAGAATCGAATCAACCCAAAGACTTTAATAAGAATTGATGGTGATTAAGCTGGATTTGGAGATTATTAGATATCACCTGATGCTGATAATACAAGACCCTACGGATGTTGTATAATGAAGGAATCGTAATATATTATAAGATATTTTTCATACTGTTTTCGTAGTATTTTTATGTTTTCAGTTGATACATGTAAAGATTCAAAATACTGAAATAAAATGTTTTAACTTGCAGGTTTCTAATAATAACATGAATGACTGATGTATTAAAAATCTCAAAATGTTTCAAATAAACATTTAAATAATCGATCTAATTATGTTTAAATTAATGTAATCATCAATAATCTACATGTAAATGCCTATAACGCATCATTATATAAGTAGATCATATTTCTTTGCTTGAAATTGATATTTTTTGTTGAGAGAAGAAGAGAACATAACTCTTAAGCAGAAGAAATAAATTGAAAGAAGTTTATAAAACATTGTTGTCTAGTTGATTAGTTTAAGAATATTGTCGATGTATTGTTTATTTCATATAAATACATAAACAAGATACATTGTTTCACGCAATAATTTAGTCTTTTCTTTTCATTTTATTGTCACACATAATAAATGTCTTTTGCTTTTGTAATAAATAATTTGAGTCAGTTATAAAATTGTTTCTACTAATTTATACATATCAAGAGTTATCATATAAAAACTCTGAAAGAAAATTATTTATTCAGAGCTGTCTGTGGGGAACAAAGGATTTGATTAAAAAAATTATTCATCAAGTCTAGCGTTTCCCTTTTCTTTTATTGTAGATCTTTGTAATGAATATAACTAGGTCATTTCACAGTCACTACTAAAATATATTTTCCATTATTTCGGAGAATTAATGAAGTTCTACGATTTTGTTTTGTATACAGACAGAAGAAGAAATCTCCAATATTTAAATCAACAGTATAAATTTTCTTTCTTCATCATCTCTAGTAATCGTCATTTACCAGTATTTATACAGTTTTGTTATTCTAGATCAAGTTCAACGTTCAGTGTATTGAAAGTAACAAGAAACTATTTTTCTAGTTACTGTTGTGTCTGTAATGAATTGTTTTGTAACATTTGATTTTGAAAATATATAACGACGAGAAAGCCGTTATACAAAACATTCAATCTTGCGCGAGCTTTTTTTTAAATAGAGCAGTATATGCTTAGTGATAAAGTATCTTACACAAATATATCATACACAATGAATAAAAGAATAGCTACTCCATTATTCATCAGTCATTTATTTTTTGTTCTACAATAGATGATAAGAATTAGTTCTAGAACGAAAAAAGTGACTGTTATTCATCCACCTCTGATAAGAATAACCTTGTGAAAATTATCTGTATTCTTTTGCTCTTCAGCAATATATATATTCGCTGTTTATTTCATACAAGATCGTTGACGAATTAAATAACAATGAGATCAATTATTTTAACAAGTACAATTATTATGGTTTGTTTATCATTCTCATATGGTTACGACTGTCAATGTGCTTGTTGTCGCTATCCTTCATTTATTTTTGACTGTACGCCAGCGGATCAACCAGTGATAGATGTAGCAGATTGTATTTCATGTACTAAGCAATTGTGCACTAATGAATATCCTACAGAATGTCCTGCTGACAATAGTTACGTTGGATATGCATGCAGTAGTAGCCATACAGGTGGATCGTCGCATGGGCAACAAATATTAGTACCACTATTAATCCTACCGATGATCGTATTGTTTTATAACATAGCAATCGACAAATTTACTGATATAAAATAATAATGACAAATATTTTTTTATGTTCTTTCTAAATTTAGTAATAAAATACCGATAGAGTTACAAAAAACATACAGATGATTCATTTTTAAAAAGAGTACATTATTTTATTGATAATCATAAGAAGATTTACATAGACAACAAATAACCTATGAGAACAAACATGTACTGTAATAAAAACTATTTTATTTATTTCTAAACATGTGATTACAAAAAAGTAAACAATCTACGATAATCTTAAAAGAGGAGGTATAGCTTTAATGAAATATAAAAACTATAAAGGAGATGTTTTCCAGTTTATAACAAAAATAGTACATGTCTTGAGAATTGTGTAAATCTGGATCTGGGTGTGACTCTATCGAATTGATAGGTCTTCACACCCACACCCTTAAGATAAATATGAATAGTTTAGGTTAATTATGAGGCAATTCTATGTGTAGTACATGAATATCTCTCTCTCCAGTTTTCATAATTATGTGTTTCTTTTAACTGATGCACATCGACAACAACATGATATATTTAGCCATTCAAAAAGCTCATCAGTTTATAATGAACGGACGTATTTTTTAATTATGTAATGCATTTCTTCGTTCTCCGAGGTACATTGAAAAGAAAAAAAAGATGACATGGATGTCTAAAAAATGCTTTGTATCCTTTCATCCCGTCACGTATGAGATGTAAATAGATAGACTTTAAATATTATTTTCTACAAAACATTTTTTTAATATGTTCAGTATTTTGAGAATAAAACTCGATTTTCTTTCAATATCTACGAATATTCTGTAGCAATCAAGAGATAGCTAGTTATAGTACTGATAATTAATTTATAGTATAGAAATTTCTTTTTTAAATTTTTCATAAATTATGTGGTAATGCTTTGTTCTATGAAATGGAAAGGAGAAAAAAAGATAATAAGAATGTCTGGAGACGAAGTAATAATTATTAAAATCCTATATATAAACTACTCAACAGATAAACTTTTGACAACACTTCATTACATATATTTTTCTTCAGCTGTGAACTTTCTCAAAAATGAATTCAACTATTTTGACATCAATACAAACATCTATCTCTAACTCATCTACTATAAATACTGAATCATGGTTTATTCCTCTCGATATTATCAATATTATGTCTCTCATGCTGGTGATAATACTAAGTATACTATTTTTATTTATTATTATAATTGATAAAACATGTCACACAGTTTCCATGATGCTTGTTGTCAATTCATGTTTGGCTACACTTCTTTTCGCAATTAATTTTTTAGGGATGATCATATGGTCACTTAAAAATGATTTTAAACAAATTTCATATCAAGATTCACTTTGTATTTTTCGAGGTTACTTTATGCATGTTACAGTTGCTATACACTTCGATTCTTATTTATTACAAGCAATCTATCGTTATATTACAGTTGTTTATCCCACAAGACTTTTCTGGCAATCAAAACAGTTTCAAGGTTTTCTCATCGGATTATCATGGGTATGCGCCTTCATATTTACTATTCCACATGTTGTCACTGGTGAAATCCAATATAATGCTGATAATCAGCTATGTGAAATACCTTTTCGTGTGTCTTTTATAATAATTTATAATATCATTTATGTCTATTTCATACCACTGAATGGCATTATGTTTATTTATGTCAAGCTAATTCTCTATGTGAAAGAAATAAATAAACGTGTAACACCAGTTAATACTGTATCTCGTGCACAACGAGAACTAAAAATGATTCATCGAATAGTTATACTTGTAGCAATATTAGTAATACTCGGTGTACCTTATACAGTCTTCATCATTATTGGATTCTTTACTCAACCACCTAAATATCATTTTCGTATTAGTTTTACATTTGTTGATATCTCATTGGTATTTATTATGATTACTTTATTTCAATTCACTGATCCAGTTAAAACATATATCATGGGAAAAATAAAGCGGCAATCAAATATAGTTGCAGCAACAACAACAATACAAATGATTGGAATCAAATAAGAATGTAAACAATAGATTTACTGTCGTATTGTTAGCTCCTTTTTTTGTACACTGAAAAATAGTTAAATGTTTGGTTCATTATTTAGATGAAATACAGTAATTTTCAAAATTGATCTAAGTTGCTATGTCAGAACTTGGCGTTTGATAGATATAGTATTACGACTGTATTCCATTGTACCGTTTATAGCCATCATTGCCATGAAAAAGATATTCAGTCGTGACAACTGTACGAGAAATTACAGTTATAAAACAGGAAACAGGTGATGATATCCGTGGGGTGTGGGTGTGAGTATTTGTATCATTTCTTTATCTTTTGTTCATGCTGCAGAATAAACAATAGTTCAAAATATATGCGTCTTTTCAGAATATATTACTGCATAATATTTTGAGGGTGGGTGTGGGTGTGGGTATTTATCTTCTCTTAACCCACACCCACACTCTCAAGATTTTTTCGCCTCAACAGTCTTACTATCACCTATATTTCATATTCATGCGTTAAACAATCTTTCAGATAGCACATTAACAGTAAATATTACACGTGGCTAACAAAATTATTAATGTTAATCATTCTTATCATCATAAAAATCAATGAATAACTGATTTTATATTTTTTTAAAATATGTTAAAGTACTCTCGAACTTTAAATATTAATAAAATATGATTTACTGTTATGCATAAGACTGTTTTCGAATAAAATTGATGATATAAGATCACCATTCTTATAGTCAGGACATTGCTATTGATAATTGATTTACTACTATCTTTTATAATATTATTATGATCCGCGGTGGATGTGGGTCTTTTTCAGTTTTTACATCCACTCATGTAAAGCAGTGAATATAAATAGAGAAAAGCAAAAATATTTAGTATACACGAAGAGAAGACAATACCTATTGTAAGTGATTAGATAAGAGGATGTGGGTGTGGGTGTGGTTGAGTAGGCTTGAGTGTGACTGAATACCGTATTCTTACTCACACTCACACCCACACCCACACCGGATATTTATCTTACCTTTTCTCTGTATACTATCGTTGCATTCAAAAGATTAAAATAAGATATATAGATATTTTTTATTTCTACTTCAGAAATTAATTATAGTATCGATATATATTTTTGTGTTAAAATTTGTTTTATTCGTATTTTTGTTGAGTTAGAACATATATAAGATACCTTTTTTAAGTAAGATAATGCCATCCTATTGTTTTTTAGAACTAGATAATGTGTACTGCTTCGACTAGTGTTTCGAGGGTGTGTGGGTGTGAGTGTGGGTTAGGAAGTGGGTGCCAGTATAGAAAAACCCTCGTTCACACCCACACCCACACTCATTTTTATTTTTTTATTAATTGCTTTTAGTAGAAATCCTTTTTTAAAATAAATACTCCTGACTTGATTTCAAATTTTGATTTCGATTTGAAGTATTTGGCAAAGTATCATGATGATCTGTATTTTGTTAGAGATCAACATCTAGTTATCTCATAATAAAAATAATACTTGCTATTTAATACGATTTTGCTAATTGAAAATAGATTCAACTTCAAGATTGATACACTGAAAGAGTTAATAAAATTCATATTTTCTTGCTAAATGTATGCCGATAGAAATGAAAAGAAACTAATCTTTTCTCAAGATAAACTCTATTTTAGTAAAAGTTTACAATATATGCTATGTTGCAAAACAAACTCATTGAATATGTTTAGCTTTATAACGGAAAAACATTAATAATAATTTTAATTCAATAGATGTGCTTTTTCCAAATCTTTCGACTTCTTCGTTACATGAAAGTTGTAGATTTTCATCGATTAATGTAAGACAGCGCATTTTTAATTGATATGATCTTTAATATTCTTCCAAATGACTTTATCATCATTATTTTCCATTCATTGAAGAATTTTAATACGTTTTTCATGTATACATAAAATCACATTATAGATTTGGTTGAATGCACATATATTTAGTTATGCATGTAGATAGGATTATAAACGTGCGATACAAAATACATTAAACGAACGACAGTATAAAGGAGAATATGCTTGAAGTGAATGTAATGAAGCACGTGGTCGTCGTTGCAAAGAATACTAAATTACAAATATGACGTTATATTCAATAACTGATTATATTAGTTTTGCTTGAATTCATTGTATTTTAATTTTATTGTGATCTAAAATAAAATTTATACAGCGTCATAATAGTGACTAAAAGATTGGTCTATCTTCGTATGGTATTTTCTTTCATGTTGATATTAACATTGTAATTGTTGATAATATATAAGAGTTTTAAATTCCTAATATAATGATATTGCTGTTTAGCATATATGTTGTATAGAAGAAAAATATTCTGATTCTTGTGGGTGTAGGTGTGTATGAGAAAGAAAAGTAATACTCACATCCACCCACTGTAGCTTTATATTATTCCGCACCTACGTGTTGAGTCTCTTAAGCAAGGACGAAACGTCGTAAGTAGCTTGGAATTATATTCTCTTTATATTGAACACACCCATACCAACCTGCTCTCAACCCGGTGAAAGTACTGTATAATATTTATCTGATCGAAGATCTAAGATAGCCTGTAACTCGTCGCTACTGATGAAGATTTTTATTTCTTTGCTCATTTCAACAATGAACGATTTATTAAAATTGATAAGAATATTTATTTAAAAATAATGAAATGTTGTTCTGATAATATCTATCAGTACAATTCAGCAGTCGTTAAAGACACTTGACCGGTATATCCACCAGCAACTAATATTTGTCCATTTTTTAATGTGGATGCTGAGTGTTTGCTTCGTACGGTGCTCATGCTTGTAGTTGGTGTCCATGTATTTGTCGTTAGATCATATAGTTCAACACTGTTGAAGGGACCACTGCTACTTTCACCGCCAGCAACTAATATTTTTCCATTCGATAAGACAATTGCTGTATGACTATATCGTGCGGTGCTCATGCTTGCTTGTGTTGAC